CCCCTAAGCCAGGGATTGTGCATTCAAGTCCCATCTGGGGTGGAAGACAAACACCATAATTCTAAATGTCCCTCCCTTCCTTTTTCTTCCCCCAGCTTCATACACTGCGCATGACGCCATATGGTATGGAATATCCCTTTGGTCAGTTGAGGTCAACTTTCCTGGCTGCATCTCCTCCCAACTTTTTGTGCACACTCACACTGGCAGGGCAGTGTGAGAAGCAGAAAAGGCCTTAACTCTGTGTAAGCACTGCTGAGCAATAATGAAAACACAGTTTCAGCACTGTTTTCAGCACAAATCCATAACCTAGCCCCATAGTAGCTACTGTGAAGAAAATTAATTCTATCCCAGACAAAACTAGCACATATGCCTAATTTCATGCCTTTGTAGGTGATGGACAGACAGTATCTCATTTTGTACTGATTTCACATTTTGTACTGATAAATTAATTCAAACAACGGGATTCGGAAAAAGTAGTTGGCAAAATATGTGTAGTTCACTCAGTGGGCAGGAAAATACAACGTAACAAGATTGGTGTTCTATATCTTTTGAAAACTAAGAAACTAAGTCTCTCCATGGAGACATGGACAGTGGGATAGAGTGCACCCTCAGCAAGTTTGCCGATGACACCAAACTCGGTGGTGCGGTCGACACGCTGGAGGGAAGGGACCAGGGCAACCTGGTCTAGTGGGAGGTGTCCCTGCCCATGGCAGGGGGGTTGGAACTCGATGATCTTTAAGGTCCCTTCCAACCCAAACCATTCTATGATTCTATGATGCTATGAGAGCGCTTAAGATGCAAGGGGGAGAGCTGTGAAATGCAAGATTCACCAAATCTAGGGCCAAAATTGAATTTATATTTTAAGATAGCCTAGAGTAGGAGAAAAAAAATCAAAACCCACAGATCATTAGAAATCATAAAAATGTAAACAGTTCAGAGTCTCAAAAATAGAGATAATTGATAACTGCTTAACGTTCCAGATTTTGACAGCTCAAAGCACTGTTTTGCTACAGTCTTGTGCTGACAGATGAATGAAATAAGTGTAATCAAATACATTCTTTCTGCTTGCTATACATGTGATTTTGTGAGCTTTACACTGCAAAGAACATCTTTGTTGTTATACCAAATTCAAATGCTTGCCTTTCAAATTGTTGACCTTTAGCAGTGAGATACAAGCAGCCATTGCCTGCATTGCAGATTTGTGGTACAGCATCTTTCAGAAAAACGGATGTATTAGCAGGAGACGTTCTGGTGATGCTGGCCATAACAAGGCCATGATGCTACATCCATTAGAAAACATGGAGGAAAACTGACCTGTTTGAGTGGGAAGGAAACTGAAATGGTCATTTCAGAAAAATGCTTTGAAATGTGCTGCTGCTTGGCTGGGATGTGAATGCTGAGTGGCTTCTGATGTGCTACAGCCAAACCCCAGCAAGCAGCATTCTGCTGGGAGTAGCCCACCTTGCATCCAGCACACAGCAGCCTCCTAGTGTCATTTTTTAAATGATAAGTTAAGAAAAAAGATATAAAGTAAATTGAGAAAATGCAAGCTCTTTTCTGCGTTTGTGAAGTTTAATGCCATTAAGCAGTGTCTGGTTCTTACACTGCACTAACAGAAGTGCAGTGTAGGGTTTTATGTAGTTTTGTGATTCCAGCAACCGGTTTAATCATGTTATGACTAAATTTGGAAAAATTACCATTTATGTAGGGTATATACAGAGATTGTACTATAGTGCACAGTACAGTATGGAGGCAGGGACTAGGCTAAGGTACAACGTAAAAAGAGAAAGGGAGTGGACCCTCTTTGAAACTATGGAAAGACCTTCCCCTTCCCCTTGCTATTACAATTAGAGCAACAACTCCGCAGAGAGGATGTGGTCATAGATCCATACTGTTAGAAAAGAAAAGGAGCAACAAGCACCACAGGACCGTTTTCTTATTCTTGATGTGCATGCCTAAACATAGCAATAAAAAAGTCAAGAAGTACAAGACTGAAAAAGAAGGCAGAACCATCTGTTGAACTGATATCTAAAAATCCCACATTGAAACTAGTGTGAAATGTAGCCTGTTTCTATGGTTCATTACCATTCATCGTTTCAGCCAATGAAAATTTTATTTTCCCAGTATTTTGTATTTTTCTCATATGTTTGCTACCATTCAATTTATATTTGTCATTTCAAATATCTAAAATGGCCCCAAATCTTTTTTCTCGTCTCTAGTCATTCTATTTTGAAACAGACAACAAAGTCCCAGAAACAATAACAAAACAAATGAATAATTTTGGATGTAAGGTCTGTTTGCTTTGAAAAAGATCTGTATGTTTGTGCATCAAAATGTTGCCAGATCATCTGTCTTTCTCCTTTCCAAGAGAGATGATTCTGAACTAGGAGGCTTGCAAAACAGATCAAAGGGAAGAATTTTGTCCAGGCTACTTCTGTTGCAGGTTCAGGTAGTAATTACAGTGTTCAATTCTGGTCTAGGACAATGTAAGTGGCATCCTTTCTTTTCTGTATCTTACTTAATCGGGTCTTGTGATTGTTTCTGAGATCAAAAGTGTTATTGGTAAATCCAGAGGAGTGAGGCAGTGACTCACACATCTCATGGTTCAGATTAGGTGAAGGCGAAGGGGGCATTAATCAACAGAAAAAAATATGGTTTAAACATTGACAACACTGCCACTATGGTTTGCTCCTAAATAGTCTAATTTGATTTACAGGAATTCAATGTAAATATAATCCTTTTCTCAAGGAAGTACCTTGTCATTTATAGTTTAGAATGAAATATATGGCACGGGGAGGCTGATTTTAATTCAGTAAGCTCATGTTTGTGCAGCAACAAAAGAACAAGAAAATGTTCCTGAAAGAGAGAGGAGGGGATGGACGGGGGAGCTCTCCCTTTCCCTCTGCAGGTCAGCTGGAAGGAACGACTGCTGTCTTCAGGTCTCCAGTGGGTCCGCTGTGGGGTGTTTCAGAGGTCCTCCTTCCAGCCTCAAGACTACATTTTCTTGAATCTCTGTGTTACTCACAGGTAACTTAGAGAAATGTGTCTCCAGGCGGAAGGGGTGGACGTACAGGCCAGTGCAGGCATCCTGCTGCCCGTGGCTGTGCAAGCCAGAGCCCCCTGGGCTGCACAGTCCTGCGCACAAAAACCACCACCTGCATTTTCAGCCACAAATCTGAATGAAACGAAGACCACTTTTAGAAATGGTCTTGGCAAGCTGCGTTGCCTCCCATCTTCAGCATGGGTAAATCTTTTAAAAAAGCTTTAATTATGGGAAACTAGTAGATTTCTTAGTCCCTGACAACCCTTTTTCGCAAGCAAATGCTCTTTCCATTCATATGCTTTTTCAGAGACCAAAGGGAGTCTTTCCATGAGAGCCTCACGACAAAGTACTGGCAGCATAGCAAGAGAAATAAACCTGCAGTCCCATGATTATATTCTAATAGCTTTCTTTTTATTTTAAGATACTTAAATCTAATCCCCCAAGTTAACCCAATCACAGTCTCCAATGTAGCATTGTTTTCAGCTATTAGCAGGTGGTTTTTAAAGCCCTCTTTAGATGATCCGCAGGGCCCACATAGTGAAGTCAATTGTTAGACAGGATATAATTTAGACTTCAGCTCTTCCTCTCAGTTTGAAATAAAATGATTACATTTCAGGAGAGCCTAAGGGAAGATTAAAAGTTTTATATCGAAAGTTGAGTATTTTCTTTTGTTGTACACTCTTCTTTTAAAGAAAATGGTATTCATTTAAAATAATGCACGTTCTCATGTTTTTGAAAAGGCACTACTCTGAATTTAAAAGAAATTCATAAAGTATGCATGTATGGGAGAGGAAGATTGTAATCTTCATTTGAGCACTTAGACTAAGTTTTTTAACTCAGCCCATTCTGCTTTGTTCATAGAACAAGGTATCTGCAAAGACAGGTTGTAAATAACAGATGGCCCATAGCATTTAGAGAGCAGCAGTTAAGGTGACAAAATCTTCTGGGGCTGCTCTCCACAGACAGGTTATAAAGCGGTATTATAGCCTCTGTTCCAGACTGGAAAATGGTCCCTGCCTGTCTTTAAAACTGTTAAAAATGGTTCCAGGCAATAGCTCCACATAATTATAGTTCTGGTAACCCCTGTGATGCCTCTCATTTCTTGTATCCAAAAGTTATCCAAGGGCAGAGGCCATGTGCAGAATACAAAGTTGTAAAACTGATATGGGTCTTAAAAATAGATGGAATAGCCCAAATATGAACAGAGTAAGAAGTGAAGAATAAGACGTGATCAACAGGATTAAGTTATTGTCTGATAAATTCAGCTAGCTTTTGCCATTGACATCAATACGACTGTTATACCAAGGATGCCCTGGGGACATTTGTAAAAAAGCATTACCTATTAAAGAGAGTTCCTGGAAGCCTCTTAAAAGAAAATGTATATATGCAGTGAAGTACCTTGTAGGAGTTCACCATATCAGCCAAATAAGCATAGATCTTCTTTTTCCAGAAGCCATCAGAAGAGTCTAAATATAACACTGCTGCAGTTAAGTAGCCTGCTTTCTATGCCTGGTAAAAGAAGAATTGCAAAAGCTGTTATTGTGACTAAGGAGGGGTGGTCACTGAACTGGCAAGTTGAAGTTTTCTTGTGATTTTATTGCAAAAAAAAAAGTTAATTTCTTTCAGTATATTCTACTTAAAAACTAAAAATTTTTTTCCACCTGCTCGCACTAATGTACACTCCTGTCTTAAGGCGGTTTTAACATGGTTTTACGTTCATTTGCCTAATGTCAGTGAGGCTTGTTGTCACATGTGGACACCTGACCATGGGAACCTACATTCACACTACTTCATTTGCTTCCATACTGCCAATTAAATGGACAAATAATAATAAATATTGAGATTGACTGAGAATTTAAGAAAGATGGATGCTCATGGTGCAGAATGGTGAAGGTCTGTGTTCAGCTGATGTTATCTCTTGCAAAGGAGATGAGTTGTTAATGTGCTGTTATTCCAGATTTCAAGAAGAACCGATGTGATGTGGGAATTAAGGCGACAATTAATGGCCACTGAGGAAGAAGACAGTTTATCATACCCTCCTCTGAATGTGACCACTGGAAATGAAACATGCATCCTTTTTTATGCTAGTAATTTCAGCCTCAAAGCCAACAATTCAGTTTCTATAGATTTGACGAATGCAACATTTGTAACCCGGAATGCGGATACTTCTTCCTCTGAGTGCTCAAGCATCAACACAACGTGAGTAGCACAAGAAATTTCATATTATAATACCTGTGATTCTGAAAGCTGATCAGAAATGGTGCAATGCTATTTTAATTTTCTCCTTCTAAGGCATAAAACAAAAAAAAAAAAGCTAAATTAGATATTCTTGGCAGAAAAAGATTGTGTCAGGACCACAGAAATGGTTCAGATGCAGCACTTTTCTTTTTCCCTCTTGCATTCCTTACTTCCATGTTTATTTATATTTGGTCCAAAAAATTTTTCCTGTCCCCAATCTTACAATCACAGAAATCTCCACTGGCATTAATGAGATCATAATTTCATTGTAAAATTCCCTTGAAGCAGAATATTGCCACTTACTAGGTAGTAATTCAGCTGGAAGTACATTAATGAAACATGATCTCTGTTTTCCTTTACTTCGAAGCACCTGCTCTTGGTTAAAGAAAATTAGAGAAATATTTTGTCATATTTTTTTGTGTACTGAACCTTTGCTATATGACTTTTGTAATTGCCTATTGATTTAGAATATTCCCTCCGATTGAAATGTCACAGTGATCTAATTAAAGCTGACTACTCTAACATTAAAAATCTGTTTCTTGTTCTTAGACTGTCATTAAAATACACAGACCTGGTGAATGGAATCAGGAGCCTAGAGATAAGGTAACTTATGATTTATTCTTCAATAGATCTTTGTGATGTACAAAGCCTGTTTGTAAATTAGGACTAAAAACAGAGGAGGAGTTAAGTGAACATGTTTTCAAAATTATAGTTTGGTTTCTGTTCTGAGAAGTAACTAAACAGGAGAACAGTCTTTATATAGAGAATATATATTAATATACTCAGGTAAAATTTTGAAAAAGTGGTATATGCTGATAGTTATACTCTAAAGTACTGGTGTATGAAACATCCCATTTTGCTAATAGGATCAGACCATGATCTCGTCTCGGGGAAATCTACCTGTGATTTGTAAACAGTTCTAGGGGCTGAATTCTACTTGCATGGCCAGGGCTGCGTTTAGTACTAATGTGGATCACTGGTGTAGTCTGTCAGAGTTAGTTTGTCGCTAATGAGGGGTGCAAAAACTCATAATTTTTCTCCTCCATGAATGATGACAAGACCATGTTTCTCCTGCAGTTAGAAAAGGGAAGAAAAGTTTGGGAATGGGAAGTCAAAGGGAGAACTTGACGCTGTTGCTGTCACTAGAGAATTATGAGCATGGGGAAAGCATCTGCTACTGTTTGAGGGCTGCCATACAGCTGCTGGTCCACAAACCTCAGTTCATTCTTTAGCAGCAGGAATAGCAGTTAAAAATATTTTCTTAACCTCTGGCTAGGATAATGTGACCTGCTTTTTTCATTTAGGTACCTCAGTTAATTGCTTAACTTCATTTGGGAAAGACTTGGGCCTAGGAACTTGCACTGAATTAAATTTGTGTATGTCAGGGGATGAACTGGATGCTTGCTTGGGCAGCAGGAGGAAAAATGGCTTGGCCATTGAAAAAGCTTTTGACATCTTGAATAAGGGAAATTGAAATCCAAGGAAACCAAAGAGAAGCAGTTTAAAGTAATAATGAAGAAGACAATCAGAGCTCAAACAACATTTTGGTAGGAGAGTAAAAGAGGCACGTGGCACCAAGATGATAAGCACAAATGAGAAAACACCGTTATTTACAATGAGATAGAAGGACATTCTACATTTAGGTAAGAGGACCTCCAGAAGGACATGCGTTGAACACAGTGATGTATTTGGAGTTGTATTGGAGTGCATAGAGAGACTTGCAGTCATCATCAGAGATCATGATAGGTGGCAAAAAACTAAACATGCTTTGTTATTTAACATCTTTCCTCCCCTCTCCAAGCATGTAGAGCTTTGTGAAAAAATATAATGTACAGATAAGATTGCTGTTAGTATAGTGTTTTTACTGTTTGACTACTGTAGTTAGCTTTGTATAGGGTACTTGAGACTTGTCCTTGGTGATGGAGTCAGGCATTTCTTGGTTTCAATACTTTAAATTATGAAAGGGACATGCACTTCCCTGAACACAATTGGGAATTAAGGAAACATTTTCCTTGTGTCCCATTCCAAAAGCACTGATCTCAAACGAAGATTTTGCCCAAGTTGTGTCGTTAGTTTTACTCCAAGTCACAAAATATTGCTCTCTTTTGTGCTTCCCTGGTGCTTCTTTGTCTACTCTCTGCTGCCCCTGTCTCACTCCCGTTCAGACAGACCCACCAAACCAGTACCCTGGATTCTCGTTCTGTGTCTTTGCTCATACCGGTACTCTCCTTTGCTCATTAGCTGCTCTCCTGTAATCTCTTTCTGTATGAATGAATCTGGTTGCTTTCTACATTTGTCTTGAATATGGCCATCCTCAGCGTAACATCATGCTTTCTAGTAAAATTACCGTTCCAAGAAAATAACATGAGTCATAAAGCACTTGAAAATCCTGTGGAGCATGACACTGTGCTGCAAAACTAGCTACCAAGTTAATGGATAGATCTAAGAGGGGTTGTTTTCTTTAGTTAACAGGTTTTGTTCAACTATACAACAGCAAATTGTAAACCTTAGGATGCTACTATAGAAAAAAATACTTTGGCTGTTAAGACATTTATTTTAGATTTTGATTGCTGCAGCAGGCATAAGATGATCAAATGTGATGTTAGTGCATGCATATTGACTTAATGAGGATTATTCAGGTTTACACTTAGTCATCTGCTTGTTAAAATCTTATAATTTTAATTAATTATTGGGAGAAAACTTTAATGGGATTATGAATCTGAGGTGCATCTGAAGAGAAGAAATTTGAAGCAACTCTGCAGACAGACTGACTGTAAATTAAAGGAGACTGCCAGTACAAAAGGTGAATGGTTCATGTTTTCTCCCTTATTCTGGAATATTTTTTTACATCCTTTAAACCTGTTTTAGTAAAGGCAGAAATACTCACAAAGTTTCTCTTGACCTGTGCTTCTGCTTGAATACATTGTAACAAGATATCAAAATGCATAAACAGCCCCTGTAGCTGGGATAAGAAACTCATGCTCCTCAATAGGTGAGGACTTGAAAAGACAGTAGATGAAGTCCTGCCCGCTGTCATGCCCAGCGAGTAATTAAAGTAACATAGACTGGCTGTGTTTTGTAGGAGAATTTGATTTATTCCATTGGGCCAGGTGTGATCTGGGTTTTTAAGAGCCCCTCAGCGCATTTGGACGCAAAAATGCCTAAACTGATTATTTTTCATGTGTGACACAGGTGCTTAGCAATAAAAAATGGAGTTGAGGAAGAAGATGAATGGGTGGCTTCCAGGGTAGTTATTGCTCAGGCATTCACTGTGCATGGGTCTGCTTGTGGGAGGTAGTGAGTGATTGCTTCTGCATTGCCTTTTTTCCTCTTTCCTTTACTCATTAAGCTGTTTTTATCTCATTTCACAATTTTCCCCATATTTGCACTTTCTGTTCTAACTGTTGAGGACAGAGGATGAGCAAGCAGCGACCTGGGTTCTTGGCTGCTGGCATCAACCCACAGCACCTCAGAAGTCTTTATAAAGATAGCTTTCTGCTAAAGATGCACCTGGTTATTTGTGCTGCTTTATGTTGGATTATCTCTTGATCTAAGAGGCAATCGTGTCATTTTAGGCCTCCATTAGCTACCATAATAGAACATTGCATGGCATATAATGCAAATAATAAGATATGCTCAATAGAACCAGAGCAACGTATTGGTCTTTTAATGATTCAGGAACACTTTATTCACTTTGTTTATCTCAGTATGTCTAGTCTCAGGAGCTTCTAAAACCCACAGAGATACATTCCAATCTCTGTTTCCCCCTTCTGGTTCACTTGGATCACATGTCTTGTTCAAGATGACTCCTTGGTAAGATCACAGTCTGCCTCAATAAACAGGACACAAGCAGGGCAAAGAGTGTTTAGAAGGAAGACAGTTTAGAGCTATTGTTGCATTTTCTTCCCCTGTAAAGGCCTTTTACTTAGGTGTAGGAGAGCATCCCTTGAAGACTGAAAATGACACCAGAGAGGACCACATTCAAATAGCTGAATTTATTCCTCAATAAAAGAGGCTCTAACCTCAGCAGCATGAGTTGTATAGTCTATGGCCTCGCGCGGAGCAACTGGTCATATCCCACCTCCTAGCAGCTGGAATAGCTGCTTTGTCCTATGCAAACAGCTGCCATCTCCATCTTCCTCCCTCCAGCAAAAGCAGCAGTCCCGTTCCTCCTCCTCTGCTTGCAACAGAGAGGTGAGCTGTAGGGGGTGGTAGTTCCGTGCTTCTAGTTGTGCTGGTTTCAGAAAAGTGATCTGACAGCTGTGGTTCTCTTTGAGCCTTTGAAACAGTAGTGATTCCAGAGAGCTTCCTCTTCAGAAATAGCTCTCCTTGTAAAGAATAGCCACCTGAGATGGTGATCAGTAACAGGTGATAACATTTAGAGTTCATAGGGTTATCTAGCACAAAGGGAGTCCAGCCTATGACCAGGAATTGCTTGTGCCACAATACATAAAGTATATGATGTCTGTGTGAAAGTTTCCTTCCTGTATTGTCTCTGATGTTTAATATGAACATGGCATTTTCTATAAAACCAAGGTACTTTCAGTTCTGCAGATAAAATCTTTGTTCTCTCTCCTCCCCTTGCCATTTATTTGCTATACTGCGCTCATTCTAACTAAAAACATAAAATTAAAAATATTAAAATAAAATATTAAATGAAGTAATTCTATTTATTTTTGTTGTTTGAATGTCTTTTTTGACATTTAATTATAGTGAAACAATTTGAATTAATTATATGAGTTATCAGTTAAGTGTGTGCTTGTTGTGGGCTATTCACTTCCAGTTGTTTGGAAAAACGCTAAGGATAAAAGCCTGTATTATTAAGTTAACCGTGCTCCACTATTAAGTGAACCACACTTCACTAATTAGAACCTCAATTTTCATAAATCTGTAAGAAACAGAAAACTTTAGTCTTTGGTGCAACGTGAAGAGCCAGTGTTCTCTTGGAGGTCACTTAAGACTGTACTCATATACATGGCCTTATAAAACTTGTTTATTCATACGGTAAGTCTCCAAAGAATTTCCTTGTTTGCCACTTTTCTTATCTGCTCAGCAAAAGTACAGAGCACACCCACATCTGTGCTTGGCATGAACATTTAAGTAAACTTCTCTGTGTTTATAACTGGCCTTCAGCTAGTGCCTATAGCATAGCTACTGAGACACCATGGAAATTCTACTCAGATTGTGCTGTGTGGCAGGAAAAGCAATTGATATCTAGGCTAATACATGTTTTAATTTTGGAACTTGATCACTATAACAATAGAATATTTTCGGTAAATATTTGTGAAAGTTTACTAGATGAAATTCAAATGTTTTTTTTCTTTTTCACTGATGCTTGCAGCTAAATGTCATATGGAAAGAGCTGTTTAGGCTCAAAACATAAGGAGTGCCATATGACAAAACACCCTTTTCTCAGCTGAACGACACTGAGTTCTAGGATTCCTTCTTAGCATTTTTAAATTCTCGAGGATTATGAAGTTATATGAATCAAAAGCCACAGATTATTAAAAAAAAAAAAAGAAAAGAAAAGGAAAAAGGAAAGGCTCAATTACTGTGGCAACCTGTCAAAATTTGTGTTACTCCTAAGGAGCATTGTTTGAGTTGAGCTTAGACTCTGTGTTGTGTGAATGACAAGCTTTAATTTGTGATTTAAACAAACAATATTCTACTACAGAGAATATTCTCTCTATATAGACATATATCAAATAGAACAGAAAATATTCTATATTGTGCCACATTTATAGATGACTGCTTATTTTTCAAACCTGTCATAATTGCATCTAAGTACTACCCCAAATTTTAAAATCCACATACTGTATTACCCATTGTGGACAGACATATTAGAATCTTTCATTTTGGTCTTACTTGTTGCTGAAAATATTCCTCTTGTAAATTTTTTGTGGTTATCAATAAGATAACAATACATATATATATAGACCAAGTAGGGTTAAAGTATTAAGCAACATACAATAAGGAGAAAAGTTTATCATTTCCTTATGAGATAACTTGAATACCAAAAGGTAACTGGGTAAAAAGTGGTAGTGTTTCAAAACATTTGGGAGATGTTTGGGCTGCAGCGGTAGCAATGTATATATAAATCCCATGATTATAAAGAACTGGAAACTGCTGCAATATGGCACATACACAGACCTTTTCAAACTGAGAAAACATTTATTTGTGTCTAACTCGCTACAAATTGGGAAACCAGAGCAGACGACCCCTCCACACTCTCCAGTGAGAGAAAACTCTATCTTCTACTGCAAATTCAGACATTTGCAAAGGCAAATTGCCATTTTGGCATCTGGGACCAGGAAAAATTGCAATGATAAATCAGAATGGTTATCTTGCTTCTACCTATCGTATAAGCAATTTAAAAAAAAAATCCCATGAAACATTTATTGAGCACCACTGCAGGCCTACTGACAGTCTCTCAGGTTCTGCTCTGCTGATTATAGACTGTTGGTAACTGATGAAATACAGCAGTGGCAGAGGCCCTTGAAGAATGAAATCACATTTGCTCCTTGCCTGCCATGGCTATGGAAAGCTGTGCTTGTGAGATGAGACTCTGAGAAGTAGTAAAAACATATCCACAAAGTTTCTTATGAACAATCCCAATGACATGGGAGGCCAAGCTAAGATACTGACTGTGATGTTTGCAGCTAGCAGTAGTGAATCTTTATCTGCCACCAGTACTCTATCAAATGAATATTAACTTTCTCCTTCTGTCATTTTGACCTTTTTTTTTCCTCTCTGTTGTCTTTCTAGGTTTTTAATGTCCAACAAGTTCTATGGAGCCTCGGCTAGAAATTGGTCCACTTTAGATTCGGTTGAGATTGTACAAGATGGAGAAAAGTTTGCTAAATTTAATGTTTCTGTCATCTCTGCTCCTGCAGAGTATTCATTTCATTGTCAGCTGGTGGGAACAAGCAATGTCTATCCTGCAAGGCTGATTCCATCCAACAATGAGGCAAAAAACTGGGATGTTTTCATTTCCAGGTTGCAAGTGAGTACACATTGACATTTCAGAGATAATTCCAAGAACGATTACTTGCTATTGTAGGTGTTGAACGACACACATTCATAATGCCCTCACTTTCATTTCAGCCTGAGGGAAAATGTAAAAGAAAAGCTGTTCCCCCTAGGTGAGCTATTCAATAAAGGGGTAAAAAAGACGGCAGTTGCTGAACAATAAGAACGTGAAAGCACAGCTTTGAAAAACAAAAAACTATGAAGTTGTCCACAAAAAAGAAAAACCAATAAACCCAAATGCGCTTAATCAGGCAAAGAATGACTAAGTCCCCATGCCTGTTTAATGAATTGGGCTGCTCTTGGAAACATGGGCCTCTTAGGTGGGTGGCTTTGTGCTGCTTACTTTGTTTTTATTTGATTTCTTTGCACTTTGTTTACCTGGGAGAGTACAGCTTAGTGTGGTTACTGTTTTCAGTGACATAGACTGTCTGTACTCCTACAGACAAAGCCCAGTGCAATTAGATTTAATGGAAGGTTTGCCATGGACTTCAATCAGGAGCAATGCTAGGTCCCGCATGGCCCACAGGGAGAGCAGTTGGCTTTTTTTTTTTTTTTGGAATGAGGCATAGATTTTCTGTATATTTAGTGCAGTAGTACAGACTGCATACGTGAGGTGTAGATGATTGAGTATTTATCATTTTGAGCATTTATCTTGACTTAGGGAAAGCACATCAACATTTATATCTTAAACCACTATTGCACTAAGGGATCTCTTTGATTAAAGAGATCATGGAAATTATAGGAATAATTCCAAACTGGACTCTATTTGTCAAAGGTGAGCTAACCCCATGATAGCTGGATACAAATGCTGCTTATAATTGTAATTATTATTTCAATAACAAACCAAATCTCAATAATCTGAGTGCAGATTTGACAATTCTGTTTAAACAATAGAAATCTCAAAAGAAGAGCATTGTTGCTGAGATTTATTTTTCACAAATTCCACGATCAAGCTGAGAAGCAATGGAGCAATACACACCAAAGTTGTAAAGGTTCCTCCTAATGGTATTTTTTATGGAAAGGCTTGAAAATACCTGCATCCATGCAATTACACTTTGCCTAGTCAACTCTGAAGTTAGACTTTGGTATCACTAGGTTGTGAAACTACATGGAATACAAAAATACAAAGCATCCACTTATAACATAGCTGTTCCTTGAATTTCTTTATACACTGATACTGCTGCCTTCTCAAAGCTTATAGAGAGGCTTTGCTCCACCCCTAGTACTTATCCTTTCATTGGGGTCTTGATCAAGAGTAGAAGTAGTAGGTTTCCCACCTTCCTTATTGTTTTGGAGCAGGAGCTGCTTCCACTGTTCAGACAACAAAACTTCCAGCTCCTCTTGGGAAAGGCCTTTTTTTCTGATCAAGTCCTAAGCCTGGAACACAACCTGATAAGTCCTGTTCTGATCTTTTGTGTTGTGTGAGAACAGAAAGTCACCATTTTGGGCTCATTTCTATCTGAACTAGATCATACCTTTACAGGTATCTCCCACTGACATGCAGTGAAATCTGATTGATGTCAATATCTTTGTTCTAGAATAAGTTTTAGAAACCCCCAAACTCTGTTGCATGGTGAAAACAAGCACATGGAATGTGGCTCAGTGGTTGCAGCCAACGCAAAATCCTGTTACTGAAACCGAGGAACGTGATTATCATGTCAATGTTATGCACTTAATTAAAAATCGGAATCCAATGCCAATCTAGCTGATATAATTGCACTTTGCAACGTTAGGTCCTGAAAAGAGAACCACTGTATTAGAGGGACACGGCACCCACGCAGTGAAACCTTGCATAGCTTGTTCCAAGGCAAGGCTGAACTGATGCAGTCTTTTAATGTTAGTTCTGGAGCTAGCTTAGTCACGGCCACCTGAAGAACCTCTGTGGGATGCTCATAGCCTAGGATGTCACCACTCGTAGCTCTACACAGTACCAAAGCTGCTCTGTTTTTGTTGGGGATTTTGTTGGTTTTGTTGTTGTTGTTGTTAGAGAAATGGTTGTTCTACCATGATACCTTTTACCCTTTTGAGAGGGTCTCATAATTGTCTATGAAGTTAAAGAGGAGGCTGCCACTGAAAGCACTGCTTTTCTTTACTATGTGTCATAGTGGTTTAGAAACCCACTTTGTTCCTAAGAAAAACTGCCAAAACCTTTAAAGCCAAGAATATTAGTATTCGTTGTGGTGAAATATTTTGAAATTAAAAAATTAGATGTTCAGTGTACTTTAGAGCCATGAAAACAACAGATTTTACTTGAAGGCTTTGTCAAAGGTCAAATGATGAGAAAACTCCATTCAAAAGAGTATTTTCAAAATTAACAGTAAATGCAGACTAGAGTAACCAAGACAAATGATACTTGTCCAAACACTAAAATTAAAACTTCCACAGTACAGAGACCTGTATCCAAAAGGCATTTACATTCATAAAAATTAGAAAATCACATGTAAGTATTTTTAACTTTCTATAGGTAGAAATGCTGCTAGGAGTCACATTTTCATCTCCCACCTGGGATCTAACACCCCCACAGAAATGATAAAGCTTCAGAAAAACAATAAAAGAACCCTGCATATACTTCATCTCCTGCCTAAAAGTAGATATAGCATTTTAAGAATGTACAATTAAAGCTTTCACCTCGAAGCTTCAATAAGCATAATCCTGCTTCAAAAAAAACCCCAATAGGATTGACATAATAAAATTCAGTATTTCTGGCTCTAAATCAGAAGAGGCAAAGCCTTTCTAAACCAAATATACCTGTTAAGTGCTTCAGAGAGTTCTTGTAAAATGTAGTAACAAGTGTATATTGTTTTCCAGGATTTCAATGCGTTTTTGGAACATAAGTGACATAAATCATCACCTGATTTCTGCTTTTTATTGTAAATAAGTCTTTCAGACTACATTTCATGACTATTACTCACATTCTCATCTGTTGTCAAAGCAGTGGCTTAACAAGCAAAGGCTTTGGTAATCACCTGTACTCTCTAAAACTGTGCAAACTGTTATCTAACCCAAAAGCTTATTTTTGCTAATCCTGCTTTAATCAGAAATCTGACTGCCTACAGTGAAAGCAGCCAGTATTTGCAAGTTAGCTCCCTTTATCTGACTTGGAGAGGTTCTTCTAAGAGGCCCAGAAAAGTTTGAATTGTTAAAATTGTCTTCACCTCCACAGTATCTAAATAGCCCTTAGTTCTGCATGTGATAATAGTTTTATTAATCAGCATTCTGGAAGGTATAGACATAGATCTTAACACACATATTGCATACACATTAAGTGCCTGAGCCATGAATTAATTCAAACCCAGAGTGCTTACTGGTGTAGCATGGTATACAACCCACATACTAATTTCTTCAACATTTGTACCAAACACCTTTCCTAGGAAGTACAAAGCCTTTTATTACCATGAAGCTTTCTGTTTAGTTTATCATAAAGCATAGACTAATCATAGAATGGGAACACAGAAAAGTAGAAATCCATGATCTTCTGCTTCCTTGCTTATTGCCTGGCAAGGGAAGTGATTTAAATAAAATAGTCCTTTTTTTTTTATTTTATTTTGTAATATTTTATATAAAATAGTAAGTTTTAAGGTCTTATTTCTTTACTGATGGATTTATGTGCTTTCCTTACACACCTATTTCAAAGAATCTGTAAATACATAAGAATCCCAGTCTACATTTTTTCTTTATAAAATTATTTAAGAAAGATTCAAAAACACAGATCAGTTTAATTCTTTCCTTCCTTCATTTTTTTTCCAGCAGTTAGATTCCCTTTCTTCTGAAGGAATCAGTGCTTATGTCATTATGTGCATGGGTTTAGAGGGGGGGGATTGTCTTCCTTTTCTTCATAGTTTACTAATTCTTTGACTGGTTTTAACAGAATTTTTAGAAGGATAGTGACACTTAGTTTCTTGACACTTTTTGCAAAATAGATGTCTATGCCAAGAAAAGATCCCCAAATTAGTTGATTTTTCTGAAGAAAATAATGTGGCAGGAGCTCAGCCAGCGACAGACCTCCAGAATCCAGTCAAAGGGGAGAGATTACAAATTTTTCTAACTGCTGGTAAAGTTTATATGGGTTTCACATGTTAATAGATAACACAAATCCAACACCTCAATGAAGAAAGCGCTTTCTCCTGTTTTGAGTCTCATGTCTAAGGAGAGGGGAAGAAAGGTTTCACAACAGTTTTCTCCTTGAACTTTCACTAAAACTGAACCAAAAAGGTCATCTTCATTAGAGGGATTTTAAAGTAGGTTTCAGGAGTTCTGCTTGTCAAGCAGTTATTAGCTAAAAATCCAGGGTATTTCAACAAATCTCATGATCTGTGGGGACCTAAACTCTCCTGCCTTTGAGTGCTTTGAGTGTTCTGGTTCTTAAGCAGTCATTGAGCTATACTGATCACGTGTCCCCATTGGGACTTTACTTCTAAAAGTAACACAGATTTCTGAAGTGGGAAAACTCCCTCATGGCAAACAAATTAATTCTGCATCTTTAATTTCCTGGGTGAAAAGGGCACTTGGAAAATTGTTATGCAGACGATTTGGTTCTCACTCTTTTTAATGGGCAGAGTGTGAGTGATAATTAACAGGTGTGGTTTTTGTAGTTACCACATACATCCTGAAACTAGGGCCTACACTACATGTTTAATTTCACTTATTTATCTACTTTTCTTCATTCTCAGATTCAAGGCTTCAACATTGAAAACAACCAGTTTTCCTATGCAAGTGACTGCACAGGTTTCTTCAGTCCTGGAATCTGGATGGGCTTGGTGACATCTATAATTTTACTGTGGATCCTGACCTATGGAATCCATATGATCATGCAGCTCACAACAAACAGTAGATTTGATGATCCCAAAGGTCCAGCTCTGTCAGTTCCTCAGACAGAATAGCCATGGACTGATTTAATGCTGCTCCAGCTTTTCCTGGTCTGATATTTATGATTTTTATAACATTTAACTTCATAATGTGTGTAACCTAAAAAGATATCATAGCAGAAAGGTGTAACTAAATTACATATAAAAAAGATACCTATTTTTGGCAACAATAATAATTCTACATGTTATTACTATCATTTGTTAATAGCTATCTGTGTTAAGGGTGTGAGGTAGGGGTGTAGAGTTTATTACTCTATCTGGATATTAGAAAGACAGGTACAAACTGCCTCCAAATTAACTATTATTGACAAAGAAAAGGATATCACAACAGAGATACTTAACTACACATTGAAACTACTGGTCTCTCTAATGGCTCTTTAGTATGTATATCATGTTGATGCTATATCTTAAGAAGGCTGAACTGTTTCTTTGCATTTTTTCTCTTGAGAAAACCATCCAGAAAAGTACAGAACTAATAAAGTATAAGTCCCTAAATAAATGTTCTTGAAAAGTCTTTTCAAAATATATGGACAGCTGATGGAGTTACTCAGCAAGATAGGTCCTTGTCCAAACTGAAAACAAAATTGGTTTTGGTGTCATAGCAATGAATGTAACTTTTCAAACTCATAACCTAAAATCAGCATCTTAACAGAGATAAGGTAATTTTCTTAGCACCCTTCCTTTTCCAGGTATCTTTGGAATAGTTATGAATTTTGTACAAAAAGGAAAAAAAAAATTATAGAAAATCATTAGAAGCACTGTGCTAATGTACTGTTTAAGTCTGAGCATGTTTATGGTTATCTCAATGACTCCAGAAGCCCGAAAACATTCAGAGTGTGCTGGATTCTTTTGCAATTAGTAAAAGTTGCTACATCTTCTCATTGGGCAATCTGACTAAGGAATGAATTACTAAATGTTATGAAGAGCTACGAAATAGTAAAAGTGCCAAAGTATATTGGTAAAAAAAATGATAAAAATAACATTTTCATTCTCTCTTCTGTAATGTTTTGTTATGACTATGCATGTTCTGTTAGTAGTTAAAGAACAAAAAATATCATTTTGACAAAATAACATTCATCACATGAGAAAAATTCTAACTTTTCTGATCTTGCTCCATGTCATAGGACAATGATACAGAGGAACGACAGTTGGAATCAACAATTTAACTAGACCAAAAATAGTTTCTACCCATCTTTACTGGATGTCACATTTTTATTATGCAGTCAAAGAAGTAAATTAAATGCTGTCTGAAGCTATTCCTCCTGAATCACTCAATCCTGACCTCGAAAACAAAAAGAAAGCTGGCAGGTAACTAGCAGAGATGACTTCTCCGCTGTAATATTTTTCCCAAATGTTTTTCAAAACCTCAAAGAGTACTGGCATTTGATCTATACAAAAACGCTGTGTTAGAAAGCTACATTTTTTTTTGCAAAAAACTAGTTGCCAGGAGAGACAACTGGACTTGTTTTATTAATTCCCCCTTCAAAGCAAGTTACATGAATGGGACCTTGAAAATTGACATCATAGTCATGAAACTGATAGCTACAAGACAGGAAGGCTATTACAAAGGGCTTAGTTAGCTTTCTTATGACTTTTATCTAGATTCAACAAAATTTGGAACAGATTGTCTTCAGCAGTGACAGTATACAGGACCCAAAGAACAGCTTTACAAAACCAGCCTAGGATCGTATCTCCAGCAGTGGTATGACTATGGCAACCACGTGGTAGTACTTGCTGCAGTTTCCACCATTTAAGCTCAGGGACTTCCTCGGCCTCAGACATGGTGTCAATTTAATAACTCTGGGTATAGTTATAGTTCATTAATTTTTCCAGCCTCCCCTTGAGCCTGTGGACTCTCCTAGAGCTTACAATGTCCTGATTGTGGCACTGGGGACACCCTCCCTTGCTTGCCTGGGCTGGACTCCAGAGAAGAGCACCCTCCCTTGCTTGCCTGGGCTGGACTCCGGAGAAGAGGAGGAAATGATCTCCTATAGGCTGTACCATGGTGAAGAGATGATATGCCTCTTTCAGAAGACATCAAGCTGGAACAGATGTTGGAAGAGATGTTTGTTGGATTAGCTTTTCACTGATGCAATAAAACTGAAGACCTCAGAAAAGAACCAGACTGAACTGTCTGCTGTGTTTGATATTGCACATTCTAGTGTGAAGGGAAAGGCATTTTGGGGGGTGAGAAGGAGGGAGGGGGAAGATTTCTCCTTCTACCTTCTCTCGCAACAGTGATACCATGAATACAGACAAGTACAGCCTGTAGGGGCATGTACTCTATTTCTCCCTGTGATGGTAAACTCAAGCCTTGTGTTACAGCCTTTGATGTGGGAGGGTTATCTTTGTGAGGTCTGTGCTGGGAAGAACAACAGAAAAGGAAGGGAACTACCCACAGCACTAGCTGTCCTGGGGGACAGGTAGACTGGGCTCTGGGGACAGCAGCCAGTCCCTCTTAGAAGAGACTCTCTTTTTCTTTCTTAACCTGCTTTTTGTCCACGTGTGCTGGGTTGACTTTGGCTGGCTGGCAGATGCCTACCCAAGAGCTCTGGCCTCTTCTCGCAGGGGCCACTCCTGCTACCAACACCTGGTCATGGACACCCAATAGACCATATCAGGGGACCGTGTGTGCTGCTGGAGTCTCCATGCCGTCTCAAACCCCTGCAGCTGCAAACCATGCTGCCCTGAGCTTGGAGACAATGACAGCTGATGACTGATTTCAGCAGGGCTGGATTCCTTCCTTCTAAATAGGGCTGGGCCTCAGGAAATTCTAGCAGGATTTTGCACCTGCCTGTGTTTGTTTACCTTCCTGAATAAAGTTGGAACTTCTCAGGGGCTTTCCAGTTCTGTGTACTGATTTCACAATTCAGCTTAATCACAGGTGTACTTGTTAAAACATGCCTGTTTCGGGAGCTGTTCCAGCCAGAATATTAGCTCTGTCTGCAAGGTGTGAGCCTTTAGGACTTCATCCAGAGCTCACTGAAGTTATCAGAAGTACTGGTTTCTGTGAGTGCTAGTTCATTTCTCTACCAAGTGCAAAATAATTTAATAAAGATGAAGAGGATGATGGGAAAGAGAGTCAGTTAGAAAAGTTGAAGCTTTGGTTTTATTTTCAAATATACAAATAAATGAAACTTTTTCAAGAAAAAATATCAGAAGCTATCAAAAAACAATGGCGTAAATTGAAAAAATGTGTTTAACTGTAAAAAATCAAGATTAAAGCCAGATAAAACCCAAACCTAGACACAAAAGTCCTGGAGCCATAAGTTAAGGTATTTCCTCATGAAATTCAGCAATGATCATTTGTTGGAGGGGAGAGCTGAGATGTAGCTAGGATCTGAACCTCCTGACCTGATAGAGGTTTGCTTTGTGTCCTGGTTTGTTGGTTTCTCTGCTTGTAAAATAACATATTTCACAAACCACGTGGAAACCCAGCAATGACTTAAAAAGAAACAGAATTATAATAGAAATAGTCCAAGAGTAGCATTTTTATGTAGGCAGTAAAGGAAGAGAAGTCATTCCAGCTGTCAAGAGAAGACTTGATGAAGTAATTGGCTGCTCCTCTCCTTCTGGGTGCCTGACAAATAATGAATATGGAAACCTAAATCAACAGAATGATTAGGCAATGTCCAGCCATTACAGGGCTCTGTAATTATGTCAGCAGAATCTGGGGTTCATGCAGGGGAAACTAGAGATGCTGAAAACAAGGAATGACTGTGAGAAGTTACATCCTAAGATAATCAGAGGTGCAAGAAGAAGTCTCACTGTTGGATACTGGTCAAGTCTGGCAAAAAAGCTAGCAGCAGTCTCTGCAGGTGGTGATGGTTGTAGGGACAAGTGTAGTGAACTACATATTATACTTATATATTCATATATATTATGTGCAACTTATATTGAACAAGAGGATGAGGCAAACACTCAAGAGGGGCACGGACTCCTTTTCCTGTGGGCTGTTTTTTCTTTTGCATCCTAGCTGATCTCAGCCAGGTGTCAGATGCCCTCTAGGCTGCTCTCTCAGTCCTTGTCCTCCTCCTCCTCCTCAACAGGGCAAGGGAAGAAAATAAGATAGAGAAGTTTGTGGGTCAAGATAAAGGCAAGGACACCACTTATCAGTCACAATCATAGGCAAAACAGACTTAAGAAAGATTAAATTATTGCCAATTAAAATAGACTGGACTGTGAGAAACAAACCAAAATTAAAACAACACCTTCAGCCTGCTTAAATGCCAAAAAACCTCGTGTCTAATATCATCCAGTACAAGAACCTGTGCTTCTTCAGTTTGCTAATAAAGGTTCTGCTCTCAGATTGGTCCATTCCCTTAAACAAAAGAGCTGTTTCTTCAGAACTCAGATTTCTAAAGGCTTAAAAATTATTGAAGTGCAGAGGGGAAAAAAAAAAAAAAAAAAAAAAGGAAAAGATTTGCTAATAAAGGTTCTGCTCTCAGATTGGTCCATTCCCTTAAACAAAAGAGCTGTTTCTTCAGAACTCAGATTTCTAAAGGCTTAAAAATTATTGAAGTGCAGAGGGGAAAAAAAAAAAAAAAAAAAGAAATGAGATGATCTTGCCAAGGGGTGGTTCCCTAAGTAAGCCATTTCTCCCTTCCACAATGTGGGACGGTGTCTTTCTTAGTCTTCTTACCTGTGTGGGTGGAAAGGAGACTTACGACAGTGACTGAGCTCAAGAGCAGATCATCTGTTATAGATGTCCCACAAATGAAGTAGCTTGCTTATACTCATCACAACTCTAGGTATGGCTCCTGTTTGAACACTGGTTCCCTGTTCTGGATTGGCTGGATTTCTGTATAACACTCGGAGCTGGTATGTTCTTGAATTATTATAGCTGAACTTCGTTTTATGTGTCATTATTATTGCCCTGATAGAAGATACTTTACTGAATGATCATAGAATTGCAGGATCATAGAATCATATCTTTTCTGCTTTGCAAATGGCAATGTGGGTGTCCAGTGGAAGACTGAGAAACCCATTTCGAGTCTGTGTTAATACCCCTTTAACTAGTTGTGTGGAAGTAACATAAAATGAATAGCGTACAGTCACCATGATATCACATGCAACTTTCTTTAGTTAATGAAAACTGCAAAAATAATGTTTGCAACATAAAAAAAACCACCAACAAATGCTTTCATAAAAGTACTTTTGGAAGGTAGCTAAGTTTAGGACTTTCCAATGTAATGTTTGAATTGTAATTTTGTGTATCCTATTTATTCTGGATAAATGTGGATGCGTATGGAGAGCAGAGTGATCAATTTATCTATTTAATAGATACCTTTCACTGAAGCATACTGGCATGATTTGAGACATTACTGTCCCTATCTATTCTGTCTTTCATTCTTGTATACCTGTGCCTCAGCTGTTCATTAAGTTCACGCTGCTCTGCTCTCTTTTTCCACCAAGGATGTAATATATCAGATTTTACAGTACAGTAGCCGAGATGCAGGTGCTTTTCTGGGTCTGTCATTCCTGCCACTGAGTAATAAAATCCTGGCAGAGGAGCAAAGCAGATAGCTGCAAACACTGATGTCTCAACACATTACTGTGATACTGGGGAAGGATTTTTATTATAGCTCTCAAAAGGGGAAACCAAAGCATACAAGGGCTGTATGCCTTGTCAGGGTCAAAGACTACATTGCTGATAGCCTGAGAGGCAGGACCCACTCCACTTTGGGCAACGTGTTTTCTGTCTCTGCATGCCTGAAAACAGCCCAGCTAAAAATGTTAGGGCAAGCTTAGGAGTGCTTTTTTTCACACCCTGCTACAAAGACGCCTAACGGCTGTCCGTGGCAGAAGATACCTAGAAGGCATCAAGATCCGGCTGTGGCTGCCTTCTCTCACCTTGTATCTTCAGACTGCAGTTGAACAGGAACGTCCCAGCCCCCCAGTGGTCTCAACCCTTCTCTTTAGTGGTAAAGAGGAAAAAGGAATGTGGAAGAGGAGTGGCAATGCAGATCATCCTCTTTTCTTCAATAGAGAGTGAGAGTCCTTGCACTTCTGAATGGTCACCAGGGTCCTACACCCCAACGGGTCCTCCAGGTCTTCAACTTTCTCTCCCAGAACCATTCTTTGGGGCTATCTGCAAACTAAAGCAGGAGCTGCCACTTTGGCTGCCCTCCAGAAACTTGGAGGTAGGTAAAAGTGAGTAGGAGGAGGGAGCCCTGCAGCTATACCTCATTTACCTTACCACATGCACGAGGTGACAGAATTGGACCCCAGAATGTTTGCAAGAGGCAGTTGAATTCTGAATGGAAAAGCCTGAGGTTTCATCTATCTTTTTATAACTAACTAGTATTACAATTACAAAATAGGTGGTCTGCTTTTGCTTGTAGGGCTTTCATGGATGTGTACTTATACAGCAAGAGCAGAGCAGGTGCATTAGTTTTCATTGATTTAGATTTTCACAGAAGTTTTTGGTTGGTTTTGAGGCCAGAACGTAGGCCTTAATGCCTCACTACCACCAATTTGTGTGGTCTAATAATGATTAATAGATACTTAAATGGAGAGAAATTAGTGTGGGTTTGGTTTTGGAGGGGGAAGGGGTGTTGTTTTATTTTTTATCTTAAACAGCACAAAAAAATTCTTTATTAGATATAGTAGGGAATTTAAAGTTTGCTCATATTGTGACATAATTTCAACCCATTTCTGCTATAATTGCTTTTATAGAACTGAAGTTCAAGGGGGCAGAAAGGGTTTAGTGGTCATAGATTGTTTGGCTCAGCATGCTTCTGGCACCAGATAAATAAGCTAAAGATTAATGATCATTTTTCTTAATTGTAGTATCTGAAACTCTTCCCTGCATAAAATTGGTGTCTAAGAATTAAGACAGACACAGGTTTTTGCCTAATGAATTACTATCTTCTGTTTGTTATGAAACTCTTGGTTAACACATGAGCTAGTTACTTTTACCACATTACCTTATCAGAAAGGTGAAGGACTCCTTCAGTAGGGTCATTGTTTTCATCTGGAATAGCCAAAGGTTTCACTTCAAAGATTCAGTACGATTGCACGTTACTCATTAAGTAAAATCTGCATCTTGTCTAATCAGCAGTGTATGTGTCTGCCGCAAATCCAGGGCTGGATTCAGCTGCTGTGCAATGGGACTCTGGTTCTAAAAGCTGTTTATGGTGAGGCCGTTGCTGTACCTGGAAATTACTCAGTGATTAAAATTATATCTTATGCATTCCCCTTCTTTGATACTGCAATATAGTGGGCCTCCTGTCCCAAAGTGTTAGCACAGAACTTCAGCTGCAATATAATCTGCAGTCTGACACTGCATGTTCTGCAGGAAAGAAAGTTTAAAGGGTACTTGCAGCAGAGGAGATGTTGTCTGTTATTAGTGTTCTAAAGGAAATAATTTCATTATTGTCATTACATATTATTGTTTTAGTGTATTTGGAAGGAGGATGATTTTTTTCCCTTTAAATACTAAGTCTGATTTTAAACAATTACCTGTTAGATGCCTCCAAACCTGTTAAGGAACTTACTGACCTTGCTCTACTGGTGGTGCTGTGGTGGTAATCATTTCATACCAGAAACTAATTGAGCCTCTGATACAGAAAGGGTCTGCAAATCAAAATGTATTGATGGAAATTGCTTCATGTGTATGGAAAGACTGCAGCTTTTTGACAGAACATAACCTCTATTTGCTCGTGTGCTACGGCTATGGTGTGAAATCATCTATTAAGTGAAGAACAGAACTCATATGTGAGATGGAATTGGTTGTATAGGTCACATGCTTTGGCCAAGACACCAAAATTAGCAGTTTCCCCCCAAAACCTGAAGGATTAATGAGAAGGTTATACAGATTTATGTCTCACTCCTCTGCAGTGTGGTGCTCCCACCACCTTTCAGAAGCACTGCTGCTCCAGTGTTGCTCACCAGTTCAGCTCCCATCAGCACCCACCCAGCCTGCTGGTCTTACTGACTGAGCCTGACCTTGCTTAGCCTGTTCAGTCTAGCCAAGGTGGTTAGGACTGGAGATCATGAGTCACTGCCTAATTTTTCTAAAGTTCCATTTTTGTAAGCTCTCCAAAAGCACAAGCAATGCAGAGCTTACATCTGCTCAAAAAGATTTTAGCCAAAAACTGAAAGGATAGATAGTCAAGGACCAAACCGTATCTCCTTCTGATGAAAAGAGCTGTACTTCCTCACATATAGATAAATGCAACTTAGAAATTAGAAAATGGCGGAATGGGAAAAAAAAATTCCTTCTTATATGCAGCAGCTCTAGAATGAGATTGAAAGACCTGCACAGGATCCATGATTTCTGTATAAATCTGTGAAGTGCTGCAAAAGTTTTAATAAGAAGTTTGTAAAGAAGATGAAGTTCCCCTCTTCTTCACAGTTTCTTTCCTGTGGGGAATAATAGATAAGTACATATGTAGGAAAAAGTAGCAGGTGCTTTAAAATATCAGGAATGTTTCTGACATCATAAACTTTATTCAGTAGGAATGCATATATTTTGAAAAACTACAGGCCAAAGGGTTTTTCTCCAACTTAAGCTTTTATTCTGAGAAAGGATCTGCTTCTATGGAAAAAGTGAGCATCCCGATATTTGCTTTTTGAAAACAGAGTCTGGGGGAGAGTCTGCAGTGTCAGATCTCCTGTTTGCTTGCTCTGAAGGTGGCAGGCAGGGAAGACAAAACACCGCTGTCCACTCCCTTGCAGACTGTGGGATGGCTTGCCTCATGCCATCTTGCGTTACAGGGAGCGGGGAGGCAAAGTGTCCAACTCTCCCTCCTCTCTCCTTGCAAGCATTGGGCACAGCAGCCGTACCTGTGCTCTCCTGAACACAAGGAGTGTTTCTGAAAAGCACATTAGCCCTCCTCTCCAAAGGAAGAAGGTATCAACCCGCTCCCTATTAGGCACAAGTGGTTTGGCAGGTGGATATTGAACTTTGTGTTGTTTCATGCTTTTTGCTCACAGGGCTGTGTTGTCCACCAGGATGTCTGACTTTAAGCTTTGCCCGAGTTGAAGATCACCTGGTTTCCCCTTTTCTTCATGTTTGCAGTGGGCCTGTTTGCTGGTTAACAGCAAATGGGAGGGGGGACCTGTGCTGATTTGGAAACACTGTGAAGTCCAAAACTCCCCCTTCTGCCCACGCACAAGGCAGCACCTTCTAGCTGGTCCTTCCTGTTAGGTGACCCAAATGCTTAGAGCTGAGTTTAGCACTGAAAAGCATTTGGCAAGTGCAATGCATATCGTTGGAGAGCAGCACAAGTACCATTTGTGGTCCTTTGCAGAGGGAAAAGCTGCTTATTTGTTTAGGCGATAGAGGCTATCGTGCTTAATGTGTGATATTTGAGTCACTTCCATGGCAACAGGCTCAGAGAGAACAAAGCAGGACACACCAGATCACATAACAGCTTGAAAATGGAATAGAGAAAAATTTACATAGCAAGTTTCCTCTAACTTTTGAATTTTACCTCTATTAGTTAACTGTTGATTTAATCAGTGAAGTAATTGCTGTACTGCCAAGCAGTAAAGAATAAATTGGCATTGATTTCTTTCAGTTGTCAGGCATCCCTTGTTTCTGTAATGACAGGGGATGTGTCAGCACAGTGTGGTGCCCCTCTCCCCCTCTGCCCAAGGATAATACACGCTATGCAACAGATGCCCTGCCATGATAACTGTATTTAAGGGGCAGCATGAGTTAGAAAGGAGGGCCTGGTTCAAAGGCATTGGAATTTTTCCATCTTGTTCCGAGAGCTTCAAATTTGGCCTGATCTCAGACGTG